TGTTGGGCCTGGAAAGGAGAAAATTTGGGAGGGGGGTGGCTTCTGCCAGCCAAGGAGCTTACAAGGTGGGTGAAGGAGCAATTTGACAGCGGTGTTCCTGGCCCTGGATGCAGTTCCTGTTGGCCTTGTTGTTATCTGTGTTCATTGGCAGTCAATCTGGAAGTAGTTCATGGAGGCCCTTGATAGGAGACTTTTGATGGAGCTAGTGCGTGTGTCTGTTAGGACCACAGGGCACCTGGGGGCAAGGTGAGTGGTTAAATGCTGGTCTGGTGACTCTGAGGGTTCTGCAGGTTCAAAGCCGAGTCCACCTGAATTCAGGCACCAAAATGGCACACCAAAGCAGTGCAGACTGCCCCCACTCTCAGAGAGCAGGGACTGTGTGTGTGGGGTAGATGAGGGTGGGAGCTGCCCACACCTGTGGCTTCCAGGGGAGTGTCAGGGAAAAGAAGGAATCACTCCTCTCCAGTCGCCTTTGTGACTCTGCTCTGCCAGGCCACTTTCTGTTGCCAAAGCTGCTCACAAAGGTTGAGGATGGTCATACGGAGTCTGGCTGGCCATTCACCAGTTGGTCTCTCTTTCTTGCCATCCCTGCACTGCTTCTCCTTCCAGAAAACACTCAATGCACTTCTGTAACCTTTCTTCTGAAGGTTGGGCCCGGTTCCAGGATTTTCATCTGTGTCTGTTTTACCTGGTCTCTCGTATCTTCGTTGTCAGTGGTCCAGGTAATGTGTCTGCCTAGTCAGCTATCTTATTGGAAGTCTGCAGATGCCTTTTTTAAACAATGTAAAAGGCTGTTGTGCTCGTGGACCTCATCAGATGGAATTCCCAGAATTTAAACTGACTACATCTATGGGAAGAGAACGTGGAAAAGCTCCACATCATCAGCCATCACAGACTGTGGAACAGACCCCATCCATTACTCATATGCAAGTTCAGGCTGAAGCTAAGAAAATGAAAACAAGTCCACAAGAGCCAAAATAAGATCTTGAATATATCCCACCTGCATTGAGAAATCACCTGGAGAACAGATTTGATGCATTAACACTAAAGACCGAAGACCAGAAGAGTTGTGGGATGACATGAAGAGCATCAAACAGGAAGAAAGCCAAAGGTCATTAAGAAGACACAAAAAGTAAAAGACCAAAATGGATGTGAGAAAAGACTCTGAAACTTGCTTTCCAGCATAGAGTTGCTAAAGCAAATAAAAGAAATGAGAAAGTGTAAGTGCTGAACAGATAATTTTAAAGAGCAATTTGAGAAGATAAAGTCAAATATAACAATGAAATATGCAAAGACTTGGAGTTAGGAAACCAAAATGGAAGATCGTACTTAGCTTTTATCAAGCTGAATGAACTGAAGGGAAAATTCAAGCCTTGAATTGCATTATGGGAGGAATCCATGGGCAAAATATTGAATGATGCAGAAAAGTGTCAAAAGAAGATGTAGGGACAAGGGAAAAGAGCACGAGCAGAATGTGGGACCTGTCTAGAGAAGCTGCGACACTAAAGATGGGGACAGAGACGAGGGCGTGGAGAAATAGAGCAGTTGAGGACTCTAGACTCATGGAAAGAGAAAGGCTGTGTGCTGGCAGCCAAGTGCTGGTGGCCAGGAGGCAGGCCTGCAGAATGTGCCTTTTGGTTGTTTAAATGATTGTATATTCCTGAGTGTTTTTGTTTCCATCCCCCAACCCCAAGAAAAAGAAAAAAACAAAGGGAATAGAAGCAAATACTGTTGAATGATACTGGATGGAGATAATCATTGCAATGAAATGATGAGTGTAAAACTGATGTTCTTCCATATAATCATTCAATTCACAATAAAAACTTTTAAAAAAACATGGAAAGAATATACAGAGTCACTGTACCAAAAGCAATGCTCAATGTTCAGCCATTTCAAGAGGTAGCATCTGATCAAGGAATGTTGGAAGAAGTCCAAGCTGCACTGAAGGAATACCCAAAAACCAAGGCTCTGGGAATGGACAGAAGAGAAATTGAAGTGAGCACTGGAGGCACTCACTCATCTATTTTGGAAGACAACTTCCTGGCCAGGTGATTGGGAGAGATCCATATGTGTACCTATTTCAAAGAGAGGTGACTCCATGGAATGTGGAAATCATCAAATAGTATCATTAATATCAGATGCAAGTAAAATTATGCTGAATAATTCAGAGACGGGTGCAATAGTACATCAACAAGGAACTGCTAGAAACTCAAGCTGAATTCAGAAGAGGACCTGGAAATAGGGACATCATTGCAGTCATCAACTGGATCTTGTCTGAAATCAGAGAATACCAGAATCATGTTTATGTGTGCTATGTGGATTGTGACAAGCTATGCATACTATTATGAAGAACCGGTATTCCTTAATAACTTGTTTGTGCTCATAAGCAACTTGTTTATAGAACAAGAGGCAGTCATTTACAACAGAAGAAGGGGATACTGAACAGTTTAAAATCCAGAAAGGTATGTGCATGGGCTGTATTTTTTTTCTAGATTTATTCAATTTGTGTATTGAGTGAATAATCCAAGAAGTTAGATTATATGAAGAAGAACATCACATCAGGATTTGAGGAAGACTCATTAACAACCTATGATAATACAGTCTTGTTTGTTGAAAGTGAAAAGGACTTGAAATACTCAATTATGAAGATCAAAGACCACAGCCTTCAGTAGGAATGGCACCTCAGTGTAAAGAAAACAAAAATCTTCATAACTGGACCAATGAATAACATCATGATAAATGAAGAAAAGATTGAAGTTTGTCAAAGACTTCACTTTGCTTGGATCCACAATTAACACTCATGGAAGCAGTAGTCAAGAAATCAAATGACATTTTGCCCTAGATAAATCTGCTACACAAGACTTCTTTGAAGTATTCAAGAGCAAAGATGCAGCTTGAGGACTAAGGTGCATTTGACCCAAGCCATGATGTTTTAAATTGCCTCATATGCAAGTTGGGCAATGAATAAGGAACACCGTAGAAGAATTGATGTATTTGAATTATAGTGTTGGAGAAGAATATCGAAAGTACCATGGACTGTCAGAAGAATTAACAAATATGTCTTGAAAGATACAGCTAGAATGTGCCTTGGAAGTAAGAATATTATCAGGAGGGACCAGTCCCTGAAGAAAGACATTATGTTTAGTAAAGTGGAGGGTCAGCGACAAAGAGGAAGACCCCTAGTGAGATGGATTGGCACAGTGTCAACAGTAGTAATGGGATCAAGCACAGCAAAAACTGTGAGGATAGCACAGGACTGGACAGTGTTTTGCTCTGTTGTATATTGGGTCACTATGAGATGGAACCAACTAAATGGTACCTAACAGCAGAGGGAACCTGAAGTGTTTCTACAGCTAACTAATGACCTGTTCATTTTTCTCTCATTTATTTCTCTGCATCATTTTGTATAATTTCTATGATCATGTCCTTACTTTTACTGATATTTTCTTCTATACTGTCTAATCTGTTAATTATATCTGTATAGTTTTCATAGCAGAAATTGTATTTCTCATCTCTTTATGTTTTTTTTGGTTATTTTTAAATCTTCATGCCTCTCCTTAACATATTTATGTTCTGTTGAGTATAATTGTACTGTTTGTTTTTATATGTCCTTGTCTACTACTTCTATTGCCCATGTCATTTCTTGATTGATTTTAATTGAGTTTTGTCCTTTTTTATTTTCCTACTTCTTTCTATGCTTGATTATGTTTTATGGGATTCTAGACATTGTGAATTCTACCTTATTTATCAAGTATTCTTGTATTCCTTTAAATAATTTTAGTTTTGTTTTGGCTTGTGATGAAATTCCTTGGATGTAGTTTGAACATTCTGACACTTGGTTTTTAAGCTTTTGTAGGCAGGACTCAGGCAGCGTTTATTGAGTGGGTGAGTTTCCCCTCTTCACAGACTGGACACTCTCCTCAGGAAGTGATCAAATGCCATTGTACAGCTCCCCTCACTTATTTCTGCTTTCTTGGGGGTCACTGTTCTGTGCTGCTTGATTTCCAGTGCCTGAAAACAGTTGTTTTTTCCCTCCTAGTTTTTATCATTGCTTAGGGTGGGAAGGCAGTTCGGGGTTTTGTCACTCTGTCTGGGTTGCATACGGACGTTTCCTCTGATACATTACTTTTTCAGAAATTAATGTTGGAAGCTAATCAGAAGATTCTTACAAAGAAATATCAGAGTGGTTTTACCACAGGCTCACGGAACCAAATTTTCTATTTGATTGCTTTTCCTAAATTAATTCTGTAGTGGAAATACAGGTTCTGAGTTACTCAAATGATAAACTTCCTCACTATATTTTAGTCTTTTGATTAAAGGCAGTGTCTGTTGCTTCAGACTTTTGGCTGATACTTGGTGGTCATCCTCAGGGCAGTTGATGGAGACAGACGTTCAGTGCCACCTCGGCCACGGGAAAAGGTGTATTTGCATGGAATTCTACTTCCCCTGGGATGATTTTGTGGGTGATCTAGCATTGTGTTTTGGGTTCCCCACTGCAAATGGCCACCCTTCAGTAGATAATGCACTTGGCTGCTAATCAAAAGGTTGGCAATTCGAACCCACCAGCTGCTCCATAGGAGGAAAATGTAGCAGTATGCTTCCGTAAAGACTTAAAGCCTTAGAGGCCCTGTGGACAGTTCTACTGTGTCCTGTGGATTCGTTGTGAGTCAGACTTGATTTGCTGGCTTTGGGTAATGAGCAGTCCAGTGGTGGGGTGTGAAGGACCCTCCTGGTGACCCCTGTGGAGATGCTGATCGTCCATGCTCCAGAAAGAGGCTCAGACCCCAGACTGTGGGCTCAGGCCAGAGCTGGAGCAAAAGGCCAATGCCCTGAGCAAGGACTGAGAATCTCCTTTGTTTCATTTTCATCATAATTGATTGGTTATGCATTTTCTGTTTAAAAGAGTTTTCCCTTTTTCAAACATTTTTTTTTTTGGTAGCGTTAAGAAGATTGTATGGTTGCATAATGGGCTCTTCTCAAAGACATCTTTTATTTTATAGGCAAACTCAGGCCGTCACGGTGAACCCAATTAGGAGGCGGTCTTCTTCAAGGATGTCTCTGGTAAGAAAGAAGGAAAAAGTATGAATGCTCAATTTTTCTTCTAATGATGATACTTTTCTTCATAAAACATTCTTTTAATAGTTTTAATTTTGAATTGGAACTGGTATTTGATCATTTTTTTTAAGCAAAGAAATTATGTTCTATAGATCCAGTCTATCACTTATATTATTCTATTGCATATACGTAAATATTAGGTCCAGCCTACTATTGAAAATATTCTTCTTTTGACTGTTTAGCCAAGTGTAATCCTTAGTAGATATTTAAAATAACATGTGACATGGTATAATAAGATTAAGTATATGAAACATGAGCCGTACATGTTCAGCTGTTTTACATAATCATTGGGGAAATTGGTGCCTAGTCTTTTTGTTCTCAAATGTTTTTGGACGTGTAGAGCGTTGTGCTTTGTCACCTAGTGTCCTTGTGTGTCGGGCTTGGCATTGCCATTCAGCATTGAAGATGAAAATGCTGCCTGTTCTAAGGAGCACATCCCTCCCAGGGTAGGGGTGTTTCTTTTATAGGCCAGTTTTTTGTCTGGCTGAGAGGTGGCCTGCAGGAGAGATGCCAGTTCCACATTAGAAGGGTGATTTAGGGCACTGGTATTGAGGGTTCTGTAATCTCTAAGGACTGTAGCATCTTGGTGTGTCAATGTGCTTAATCCCTTTAGGAGCTTTCTAACGGAGAGAAAGAAGCCAACCAAGAATTACTTTATGTATATTAATTACATGGTGCTTTTGTGTGGTGCGATGTTGTGTTCTAACTCTGTCTCCAACTTTCCATTTCTTAGCCTAAGCCGCAGCCATATGTGATGCCGCCCCCTCCTCAGCTGCATTATAATGGACATTATACAGAACCCTATACTTCTTCCCAAGGTAAAGTACACTGTCTCTGAAACGGAGTCTTGGTGGGGTGCGGTGGGCTCATGCGCTGGTCTGCAGAGTTGGTGTGAACTGCAAGGTCGGTGGTACAAGCTTACAATCCGTTCCTCGGAAACACTAGACAGGGTCACTAAGGGTCAGAACTGACTTGACGACACTTAATAACAACAATTAATAAATCTACGAAAATTTAGAGATATTGAAGCCAGGATAGTTCCTGGCTGAAGTTACACTCAAGATTGTTGTCGTTGATTTTAGCCATCCTAGATTCTAGAAGCCATTAGATTCAGTTTCTTGGATGTGTGTAGAAAATATGCGGTATCAAATCTGACATTGAGATAATCCCACATTTGATCAACGGGAGCTATCTATCTAGCACTGCATCATTAGCCTTTGAGTGTGTCCTTGTTTTCTGACACAGGGCATTCCAGCGTTGATTTAATTTTTTTTTCTTGGCCTGAGACCTTTTCATGGTAAAGGATTCCACGTTTTATTTCTTCAGTTTTCAAGTGACCAGTCAAGGAAGCAACCTCTGTTGCTGAATCCTAGGCATTTGCTGAACAGACATTTACTCTCCACTCTGTATACAAGGCTCTACTAAAGGCCAGGACTCTTGGTGTGGCGCTGTAGGATCAGCATTGGACTGTGAACCACAGGGTCAGCAATTCAGCTCCACCAAGCTGCTCCTTGGAAACCCTACACAGGGTCGCTATGAGTCGGAACCAACTCGACAGCATTTAACAACAACAGCAACTAAAGGCCAAGGAGATTTATGCTGATGAGTAATTCCACATCTTAAGAAGCAGAGTCTTAGTTGGGGATAAGACAAGAACACAAATAACTTGAATGCACAGAGAGCACAATTGGTTTGAGAGCAAGCGATTGCTGTGCCTTCAGTGCAGAAGAGACACTTTCCATGCTGGGGCACTGAGATGAGCTTTCTAGAGGACGGTGAAGTGGGCTTGGAGAGATGGTTGGGGCACTGGACAGGCACTTGATTAGGATTGCTGCTCCTGGTTTTGGGGTGTGTGGAGAGCAGAGGCTAACGTACCACAGCACATTGTGAGGCAGTGGGGCGTGGGAGGCTGGAAGGTGAGCTGTGAATGCGTCTATGACCCAGGTGTTAAGTGCAGTGATGAGAATGTCCATGCAGTGAGTCCCTGCTTGGACTAGTAACCCCAGCCCCTTCCTCCCCCAGACCAAGCTTAGTCGCTCTCTGCTATTCATTCATTGTTCTTTACCTTCAGTGTCCAAACATCCTGGTTGTTCTGCTCTTCTCTGTCTTCATGCTAGAATTCGAATTCTTTTTCCTTTCGTCTATCACCCTCTTCTGCGAATCATCTCGAGGTGCTGCTTTAACTTATTGATGACCAGGAGGTAATTCTCCAGGCTGCTCTGCTGTAGATGCCCGCTCTCAGCACCTCAGCCGCGGGCCCCCAGCCCCCAATCCAGGCATTGTTTCCTTGACGATCTCATTCCGGTACTTGGGGTCCTCCCTCCCTTTCTGGCTCTACACCTTTCCCTGACCACCCAGGCCCTTCACTGCCTGTGGCCGGTTTCCCTCCTTTGGCAAGCTACCTTAGTAATCTCATCCATGAGTCAGCTCTCGACGGGGCTGCCCGCCATATCCGTGGTTTCCATCTCCATCCTCACTCCAGTGCTGCGGCCCCACATTCCCAGTGGTCTGGTCGGGTGGGTGTGACCAATAAGGAGCTATTTATTGCATGTCCAGCTCTGGACAGAATTCCTGACATGTGGGGGTACCTAGTACATGCTACCAGAATTCAGACTTGGTGAGAATTCAGATAAATAATGAATCTGACCTTATTTCTCGATCCCATAAACCTGTCATTCCCATGTTCCTTCATTTTACTATGAAGTCTCTCTCCTGGTTATTTGGATTCTAAACTGCATGTAATTTTGCTCCCCCTCAGTGTTCAGTCAGTTACAAACCCTATTGTCTCTTTTCCTTTCTTCCTGTAATAGATCTTGCTGACGACTTTCTCCCATCCTTCTGCTGTGATCCATTCCTGCCCTTCTTCCTACTCTTTTATAACCTCTCACCAGCTGTCGCAGTCCATGACCCCATGACCGGGGATCTTCGGTCTCCCCTTTTGCAGGCGAACCGCCCTGACACAGCCTGGTTGGTGTCATTGCTTGGCCTGCTGTTCCAGAGTCTCCACTAAGTGGGTCTTCCCTTGTCTACTTTCCCACCTCGCTCCCTGCTGTTCCCTTTCTCCTCCCTAGCTACCTGCTTCTGGAGCTGAACCTGCTCTCTGAGAGCCCAGGCTGCTTCCTCTCCCAGAATGCTCTTGTCCCCTGCACCTCCCGTTCACAGACCGTTGATTTCAGGGTAGGCGAGAAGAGGCTGACCTCTCAGTGGCTTACGACAGCTCAAGGTGCTGACAGGAATGCTTCCGCAGAGGCTCGGGCTGGGACTCTCCCACCGGGAATGGGGTTGGTTGGGTGGCAGGGGCAGAGCCTGAACACGGCACTGGCCCTATCACTCTGCTCACTGCTTGTCCGTTCTGTCACGTGGCTGTGCAACATCATGGTGAGGAGGTATAATCTTGTGTACTTCCTGAAGTCAAGTCACCCCCAGCCATCGGGCCCTCATGACCTCTCAGGCACCATGTTGTCTATGAGGCCACCCATGGTCTGTGCCTCCCTGTCCCCACCCATCCAGCCGGATCTGGGTGTAGCCCTTTCTCCCTGCCATTCTGGTGGCATGCAGCTCTTTCCCTTTCCTGGAGGTGTGCTCATTTTTGTGCTGATACTGTGTGTGCCTGTAATGAAGTCATCTGTGTGTTAGGATGGACTTTTACATCTACCAGGCTTCTCACGATTGGCTGGTTGTGGGGTGCAGGGAGGAGCCTGGAGGCAGAGACCAGGGAGGCGGGTAGGATTCCAGTTTCCTGAGCTCCTGAGGCATGGTGGCTGGGAACAGCGGAAGTGCTCACAGAATGTTCCAGAGGTGGGGAATCACCATGCGGCACTCTGAGGGCTGTTTCTCTAGGTGGCTGTTGAGGCCTCTCCCTTTGATAGTCTCTGAAGCCATCACGCTGCTCTTGGGTCACAAAAAGACTGCTTTGCAAAGGCGCTCTTCCCTGACGTACTTGATGCTGATTTCTGCGAAAGTGTCAGGACTCGGGCAGCTGCTTCTGGTCGGAGCTCAGTGCAGCACGAACAGGTTTCAGCTCCTTGTCATGTCCTTCGGTCATGTACCAGAACCCAGGGCCCGCAGGGCCTTAGCTCCGGGACTTCAACAGCATCATCCAGACATGCAGTGGCAACATCCAACGGATCAGCCAAGCCACTGCTCAGATAAAGAATTTGATGAGCCAACTAGGAACTAAACAGAACTCAAGCAAACTACAGGAAAATCTGCAACAGTTACAACACTCTACAAATCAGCTTGCCAAGGAAACAAATGAATTGCTGAAGGAGTTAGGGTCCTTGCCCCTTCCCTTATCTACTTCAGAACAGCGCCAGCAGAAACTTCAGAAGGAACGCCTCATGAATGATTTCTCTGCAGCCTTAAACAGTTTCCAGGTTATGCAGAGAAAGGTATCTGAAAAGGAAAAGGAGAGTATTGCCAGAGCCAGAGCTGGATCTCGCCTATCTGCAGAGGAGAGGCAAAGAGAAGAACAGCTGGTCTCATTTGACAGCCATGAAGACTGGAACCAGATGCAAAGCCAGGAGGATGAAGTAGCCATCACTGAGCAGGATTTGGAACTTATTAAAGAAAGAGAAACAGCAATTTGGCAGCTGGAGGCTGACATTTTGGATGTCAACCAGATATTTAAAGTTTTGGCTGTGATGATCCATGACCAAGGTGATCTGATTGATAGCATAGAAGCCAATGTGGAAAGCTCAGAGGTGCATGTTGAAAGAACCACTGATCAGTTACAGCGTGCTGCTTACTATCAGAAAAAATCTCGCAAGAAGCTCTGGATCCTGGTGCTTGTGCTGTCAGTGGTTCTTTTAGTCGTGGGATTTATTATCTGGATAGCTAATAAATGACGTGAGTGCCCCAGAGCCTCCTTCCGCTCAGCTGCTTTCCAGGGCAAGGGCTTGTTGGAGTCTTGCTAGAACAAACTGATCACAGGAAACGAGCTGACACCGGACTGTCCTGTAATAATTTAGTAAGAAACTAACTACTAACTAGTCCTTGGAATTAGTGACCTGTGGAGACAGTATTTATCAATTTATGTATACATCTTATGGATTTCTCAAATTAGGAATTAACATATATGGATTTTGCTTTCTCTTGTATTTTTATTGCCCTTTGTCCCAAGTGTATACTGAAGAATCCATTCTAGATGCTCTTGTTTTCACAGGTGACACTATAGTCTCCTAATATTGTCTTTTATGTGCATACCAAGATTTACCTTTTTATTAGCAACTAAATAGAATTACATTTTGGTGCCCTGCATATTGGAGTCTGTCAGAAACTGTATAAATAAGTCAACAATTTTTAGTATTTAATATTTGGATTTGAATTTCTTAGAAGCCTATTCTCTATCTGCTTTGAAAAATGTTGGCACTGTATTTAACTGTAAAGTAAAAATTGCCTATGTGATTCGGATTAAATGAAAAGGATCTATTTGAGCTTGGGGTACATGTTACTAAGCTGGACTTAAAGTTCACTTCATTATCTGGTGGGGTCTTCTAGAGCAGTTCATCCTTATATACACTAAGCCATTTTGTTCACTTTTTGAAGAGGTTAATTTAATTAACATTACTCCATGGGGTCCCTCTCCTAACTGTCTGTATAGAAAGGGAAAATTAGACAAAGCATGCTTTTGGACAGCAGATAGGAATTGTTTGGAATGATTTAACCTTTTTGCTGTCATAGTTCACCTGTGATTCCATATTCCTGGTGAATGATAAATATTTCTGCCAAAAGGCTGCTCCCTACCCTATAAGGGTTACTAGGCATTTGATGGGAGGAAGAGTTTAAAAGCTAGACTGAGGCTGGTTTAAAATTTAGTCCTGTGAACCTGGTGATAAAGCAAAGAAGAGGTTCATTTTTGTAAATAATACTGGTTTGGCTTATCCTAATTTATGAACAAGAGATTAATTTCTCCATGCACAGGTACACACAGACACATAAATGTTTCAGTAAAAGATTGCTGTCTTATAACATAAATGTTGTCCACTCCCTTTTTTCACAGGCCCAGAGCAGTTAAAGGGAACACCTTTTCTTTGGGCTGTCACATAAATATGAATTAGGCCAGTGATTTCAATTCATCCTTTATTGGATTAAAGGATATGGCTACCCTGGATATATTTGTATCTTTCCTCCATTCTACTTAATGTTATTCAATCATCTTTTACCAAACTAATGTGAATAGCAGAGAAATAAGGACCCAAATGCATAAGTTTCTTTGCTTTCTTGTACCATTCCACCCAATTAATACAAATAAACATTTTTTAAAGTTAAAAAAAAAAAAAGAAAGTGTCAGGACTCGCCCTCCTTCCAGCTGAGCTGCACATGGGCTGGAACACGCCCCTTCTGACAGTCTTTGACAGGCCCACACACGGAGCCACGACGAGACTAGCAGAGCCCGTGCTGGAGACGCTGTACACCAGAGCTCAGATCCTGCTGCCCCACCCTCCTTTCATCCGTCACAGCTCTTAGGCCACTCTGGATGAGCCTGCTCGTGCAATATCCAGAATTCTCCTGAAGGAAGTGTTTGCAGATGTCAACAGGGCCACATCCCTATCCAGGGAAAGAAACATTGTGGAGTCAGTGGCCTGACGCCCCCAATATCGTTCCAGAAAGCTCATTTCATCTTCCTGATAAAACACACGGATTTGACTTTCTTCAAAATACAGTATTTTGAGTCTGCGTGTATGCCCTTGGCTCCTGTTTTCACCCTGCTGCCCGCACTGCCACCACCTCCATGAGAGAAATCAGGTACCTGCAGGCCGGGCAATGTGGAAATCTGATCAGTGCCAGGTTCTGGGAGGTGATCAGCAACAAGCATGGCATTGACCCCACCAGCACCTACTGTGGTGACAGTGACCTGCAGCTGGAGCGGATCAGTGTGTATTCTGGTGAGGCCGCCGGTGGCAAGTATGCCCCCCACGTGGTGCTGGTAGACCTGGAACCGGGCACCATGGACTCTGTTGCTCAGGGCCTTTTGGGCAAATCTTCTGACCCAACAATTTCGTTTTCGGTCAGAGCAGTGCTGCAAACAACTGGGTCAAGGGGCACTACACTGAAGGTGCAGAGCTGGTTACCTTGGTGCTGGAGATGGTGTGGAAGGAAGCCAAGAGCTGTGATTGCCTGCAGGGCTTCCCTGGTGGGGAGACTGGGTCTAGGATGGATGGGCACCCTTCTCATCAGCAAGATCTGAGAGGAGTACCGAGAGTCATGAACACGTTCAGTGTGGTACCTACGTCCAAGGTGTCAGACACGGTGGTGGAGCTATACAATACCTCCCTCTCAGCCCACCAGCTGGTGGAGAACACTGCTGCATTGACAACGAGGCCCTCTATGACATCTATGACTTTCAAGCTGACCATACCCCCTACGGGGACCTGAACCACTTGGGGTCAGCTGCTATGAGTAGGGTTACCACCTGCCTGCGCTTCCCAGGCCAGCTCAATGGTGACCTGTGGAAACTGGCTGTAAACATGGTGCCCTTCCCCTATCTGCACTTCTTCATGCCCAGCTTCGCCCCACTGACCAGCCGGGGCAGTCAGCAGTATCAGGCCCGGATGGTCCCCGAGCTCACCTAGCAGATGCTCCATGCCAAGAACATGATGGCACCCTGTGACCTCCACCATGGCCGCTACCTGACAGTAGTTTCCGTCTTCTGGGGTTGCATGTCCATGAAGGAGGTGGATGAGAAGATAACTGCTCAATGTGCATAACATTTTGTCGAGTGGATCCCCAACAACGTGAAAACTGCTGTCTGTGACCTCCCGCCCTGGGGGCTAAAAAAGTCAGCCACCTTCATCCAGTAGCTGCTCAAGTGCATCTCGGAGCAGTGTACGGTCATGTTCCAGCACAAGGCCTTCCTGCACTGGTACACGGGCGAGGGCATGGACGAGATGGAGTTCACCGAGGCCGAGAGCAACATGAACGACCTGGTGTCTAAGGACCAGCAGAACCAGGATGCCACGGCTCAGGAGGTCAGCTAGCCCAGGAAGCGGAAGCAGCGTGAGCTCTTTATTCACTCAGTACCTGCTGTCGTCTCTCACGTCCCATGCTGCACAGACATCTCCATTAAAGCATGTTTATCATGAATAAAACTCAGTATTTTGTGATACAATTGTACTTTTAAAAAATTAATTTTTTTTTTTTTAAAGAGCAGTTTTAGGTTTATAGTAAAATTCAACAGAAAATAGAGCTCCCATTCGCCCTCCCTAGAATCCCTGTTCCGCATTAGAAATATTTGCATTCGTGTGGTAAGTTTTTTACAGTTGATGACTTACTGTCAGCTAAAGTCCATAGATTATACAATTGGACTGCAAGGGCGATTTGAACATTGGCAGTTCAAGCTCACCAGTTGCTCCTCGGAAACCCTATGCAGCAGGGTCACTATGGGTCGGAACCGATTCCATGGCACATAACAACAGCTCTTTGTTTTGTATGGTCCTTGGATTTTGACAGATGTATAATGTCACGTATCTACCTTTATAGTACTATACAGAGTAGCTTCATTACCCTGAAGATCCCTGTGTTCTACCTGTTCCTCCTCTCCTTCCTCCTGGAACCCTGGCAACCATTGTATTCCTCCAGATTGCATTTCCCAGACTCTTCTGTGGTCGGAGTCATAGTATGACCTTTCACCCTGGCAGCATGCACTGAGGTCTCCACCTTGTCTCTTACGGCTCGTTTGCTCATTTCTTTGTTAGTGGACTAATACAAATACTATTGGTCAGTGCACTAATACTTGGTTGTGTGGATGTGGACCACTGTTTATTTGTTCATATTGAAGCACATTTTAGTTGCTTCCGAGTTTGGGGAGCTAATGAATAAAGTTGCTTATAAATATTTGTATGCAGTTGTTTGAATGAATTCTACTCTCCATATTGGCCTGCAGTTGGAGCCCCCAACCACTCTGCGGGAGAAAGATGAGGCCTTCTGCTTCCGCAAGATGTAACGCCTCAGAAACCCTACCCAGGTGCCCTGTCAGTCAGAACTGAGATCCCATGGCTCTTGGTGCTGAATCCTGCCTAGCACCATGAGAGCAGAGTCCTGCTCTACAGATGGAAAAGTGGAGACTCTAGGACCCAAAGTCCCACATAGATTTATTATTTTTTTAGAAGTTTGCAAGACCAATGATTTTATTCATTGCAAATGCCTTCTTTTAAAATTTTTATACATACGTTGTATTTTTTTTCTGATTTATTTATTTATATTGTGAACTGAGTAATAGGAGAACATCAGCTTTACACCATTGTTTCATTGCAATGATTACAATTTCCTCCATGTATCATCATTCAACAGGATTTGCTTTTATTCCCTCTGGGTTTTTTTTAATAAGCCATGTTGTATGTCACAATGGTTCAGTGCCTAGCTCAATGTCTAATTTAATACATTTTTAAGATTCCATTTTCAAATATATTTTTTAAAAATCATTTTTTTCTCTTCCAGATAATCTCTTTGTGACCAACCATAATGGGTACTATTGCCACTCTCAGACCAGTCTGGACAGAGCCCAGATCGAGCTCACTGGTCGCCTCCGGAACGGCAGTGTCTACAGCGCACACAGCACGAACTCTTTAAACAGCCCCCAGCCCTACCTGCAGCCCTCTCCTATGTCCTCCAACCCCAGTATTACTGGGAGTGACGTCATGAGACCCGACTACGTGCCTTCACATCGGCACAGCGCCCTGGTTCCCCCTTCGTACCGCCCCACCCCCGATTACGAGACTGTGATGAAGCAGCTCAGCAGCGGGACACTGCGTGCAGAGAGGCCCAGCCACTCCCTGCGCAGCCTCAACATTGGCAGCTCCTATGCTTACAGCAGGCCCGACGCCCTGGTCTACAGCCAGCCGGAAATCCGGGCGCATGCGCATTTCACCTCTCCCCAGTCGGCCCACTACCCTTTCAACTGGAACTATAGCTTCCACAGCCAGTCTCCCTACCCCTACCCTGCAGAGAGGCGGCCGGTGGTGGGGGCCATCAGCGTGCCCGAGCTCACCAACGTGCAGCTCCAAGCCCAGGACTACCCCGCTCCAAACATCATGAAAACCCAGGTGTATCGTCCCCCGCCTCCTTACCAGTACCCCAGGCCTGCCAACAGCACCCCGGACCTGTCCCGCCACCTCTACATAAGCAGCAGCAATCCGGACCTCATCACCAGGCGCGTCCATCACTCGGTGCAGACGTTCCAGGAGGACAGCCTGCCGGTGGCGCATTCTCTCCAGGAGGTCAGTGAGCCTCTCACCTTGGCCCGGCACGCTCAGCTGCAGAAGAGAAATAGCATCGAGATCGCCGGCTTGACTCACAGCTTCGAAGGCATGAGGCTGAAAGAGAGAACCATGTCCGCCTCGGCAGCCGATGTGGCACCGCGGGCGCTCTCCACAGGCTCCCAGCCCAACGTGTTCATGGAAAGGACAAAACCAGAAGAGAATGACGAGCAGGAGAGCCTGCGGTATGGTCATAAAAAATCTCTCTCTGATGCCACCATGCTAATCCACAGCAGTGAGGAAGAAGAGGAATTTGAAGAGGAAAACAAAACTGCTGCCATTCTCTCCCCATGTGTGCACGAGCCCCGGCCTCTTCCAGCTGTCATGGGCCTTTACTCCCAAGAACCACAACCCAGCTATTCCTGCAGCTCGGTCCCTCCTGTGGCCGGTCCTCTGCATATTCTTGAGCCCAAGTCCCATGTCCCAGAGACTGAGAAGAGGCTGAGGGACGTCAGTCCCGGCCACGTGATGGTTGAAGCCCAGCGACCCAGGAGAGACGGGCTGCTGACGCCGTCTATGTCAGAGTCTGACCTCACCACGTCGGGGAGGTTCCGAGCCAGGAGGGATTCTCTGAAGAAAAGGCCCATGTCCGACCTCCTCTCAGGAAAGAAGAACATTGTGGAGGGCCTGCCGCCTTTGGGGGTAAGCGTTCAGGGTGGTTCTCTCTGTGGGGGCCTCCATAGGCAGCTAGGAACGTACTTATTGTTGGATCCCACTCATGGCAACCCCAGGGCTGCAGGGTAGAACTGCTCCTTTCGGTGGTAGATCACCTGGTCTGTCTTCCAAGGTGCCTCTGGGTAGGTTTGAACCACCCATCTTTTTTTAAAATTTATTTTTCAAGTTTTTAATTGTGAATTGAGTGAAGGTTTATAGGGCAGATCACCAATTTTATTATCAACAAATCATACTTGGTTTCATTGATTGCACTGATTTACAATGACCTCCATGTACCATCAGCTAACAGTATTTATCTCAAGTTCCCCCCTTTTTATTAAATGTACACATACAAAACAAAAATTATTCATTTAAATGTCCAAAGGGCACATTTGGTAAGCCAGCCTTCTGCCCGCAGGCCCACAGCTTTTCTCAGTCCATGGGCCTAGAGTCCTTAGCTGCTCTGCCTCTCCATGCTATTGCCTCTGCCATTGCCCCTTTTCTGGTGTGGATCTCACGCTCCATTCATGCTCTTCCCTCTTGATGGTTCTCGTGTCCTCTGTTCCTGAAGTGGAACATTAGCTATTCCCACCTTTTAATTACACATTGTCTGCAATTACAGTGTGACAATCACAATTAATCCTGCTAACACCAACAGTTACTCACATAAACTGAGTCATAAAATCCTGTCACCATCCTCCCCCATCCCCTTTCGCCAGGCCCATCTGGAAAAGAGGAAAACGGTTCATTGGGGATTATACTTTACCCCCTCGTTCTGACACTAAGCACACTCATGAAAGCTTGTAAGCCAGCCACTTCATGCCTTTATAGCCCCTCCCCCCATTTTTGATAGTCAATGTCTCAGTTGTCCGTCCCTATCAACCCAGTGCCCTGAGGAGACAAGCTTGTTCCTTGATATGAAGAATCCTTCCATTCAGTTGGAATTTTGAGCAACTACCTCCATAAGCAAAGGTCTAGTTCATCAAATTATAGCAATTTATGCTTGCTTCCTGTGTTGAACTTCTTTGTCTTCATCTGGTCAAGTTAAGCTAGGTTAAATGGGTACTATCTGCAAGTTTGGGAGTTCTTGCATTCTCTTGCCTCTACCCCCCTTTCCCATCAGCAGGCCACTTCACTCTCTAGCTCTAGTCCCCAGTGGTTAAATCAGTGTTCAAGGGCTCGAAGTTCATGTCGAACTTCAACTTCAGACTAGCCAGCGTTTCTTCTTCCTCTCCTCTCTCTTTCATCTCAAGGTCAACGGGTGTCAATGGAACATGGCCAAACTCAGCCCAGGTCTTCATTGTGGCATTTCCCACACTTCCATTCACAAGTAGACCAGGCGGTCACCAGCGAGCGTACTAGTATGCTCGTGGGTTTCCTTCATGGCTCCAAGGAAAACGGCTTGCTTGATATTCTAACAGCCAAACACAGTTTGCATTTTTTTTTTTGCTGTTCTTTAAAGAAGTCTCTTCGGTTCTTCTAGCCATTCTGAGTTGGTCTGCATGTCTTTTCAAGGGGGCATGTCCCACCTCAGAAGTGAACCATTAGACTAGTAGTTCTATGCTTAACCTTTGCACCTCCCAGGGCTCCTCAACTGGGAATGAACCAAACCCAAATTTGCTGTCACCGAGTCGGTTCAGACTCAGCAACCCGCTAGGGCAGAATAGACTGTGATCTTTACAGAAGTTTGTCATCTTTCTGGAAGCTGCCTGTCACATATTTCAACCCCAGAGCAGCTAGTGGGTTTGAACTGCTGACCTTTTGGTTAACAGTAGAATGCTTAACCACTATAGTACCAGGGCTCCTAAGTAAGAATGTTGTTGTGGTTGTGTGCAGTCGAGTCACTTCTGACTCAGCAGCCCTGTATAGGGTTTCTGATAGCAGCTGGTGGATTTGAACCACCTTACAGTTACTAGTCCAGCGCTGTACCTACAGTGCCACAGAAGGGCTCCCTTTAAGCCAAGTTTTCCCTACTCTGGTTCCATTATCTTCTCCTGAGATTTTTCAGCTTTTTCTCCTTTTTTTTTTTTAAACTCACGCCCTTCTCTTATATTTTACTGTTATTTTTGTCCTGTTTTTTTTTGTCAGCGATGGGGATTAATTAGGTTTCTAGTGAATCCCAGAAGTGTCTGAGACTTGTAGAATGGAATGAGAAAAGAGTGAATGACCTTTTTATTTCAAGGAAAAGGAAATGAAGATTGTGTGACTTTAGCTGGGATTGCTCTGCCAGCCCACCCTTGACAGTGGCCTGTGGTGAGGGCCACATCTGCTCCTGTGATGGTCCAGAGAGACACCGGGGTCTTCCTGGTGATTGGTGGGTTTCTCATGGTCAGTGGCTAGAGCTAGAATTGCTTGGTCACGTCCTCTGAGGGCTGACGAGGGATTCTGGAGTTTGTAGCTAGAGTTGGGAGTGATGCTTGGTTAAAGTAAAGCTCCAGGTCACTTGAGAGACAGGCTACGTAAAGTGGGAATTCAAGGGGAGATGCTCATCCAAGACAGCTCATTACAATTCGCTCTAAGCCCAAAGCCACCCCCCCACCCCACTGCTGTGGAGTCAGTTCTGACTCACAGCGACCCCTGTGGGACAGAGTACAGCGTCTCCTCAGCGTTTCCCAGGCTGTAAACCTTTACAGAAGCAGACAGCCTTGGCTTTCTCCCAAGGAGTGGCTGGTGGGTAGACACAGGTCACATGTAAGAATGACAGCCAGCCAGCTGCTGCTGGTGCTATGGGAAGAGGGCCGTTGAGCTCAGCAAGGCAGGCAGAGTACCTCTGGAAACAAGCCCCACCTTGTCCCCACCCTCAATCTCTGAGGCACACCAGCCTGGCAGTTGGCAGCCCAGTGCTTAACCTACTGCACCACCAGGGCTCCTTCACTACAAAACCAGAAACCAACTCTGCTGCCATCAAGTCGTTTCTGACTCATAGCAACCTCATATAGGATTTCTGAGGCTATAAACCTTTATGGAAGCAGAGCCCCCCCACCCCCCTTTTTTCCTTGGAGAGCAATTAGCAGTCCATTGCTTAACTACAGTGCCTCCAAGGTTCCTTCAGTGTAAATAGTGATTATCTCTTCTGACCTTTCTGAGCCGGAATGTAAGCATAGACTATCCTGGAGAGCTTCCTCACGTGCTGGGCACATTGTCTCCCTTACCCCCTTGTTAGCAGTGAGGCTGCTGTTATCCCCATTTGCAGATGTGGAAATCCACTGAGCGATTAAGTTACTTACCCTGGGCTGCACGACCACTAATAGAGTGAGCTGGGGTTTTAAACCCCTGCTTAGCTTTACCACCTGTTTTTTTCTACACCTTTCAAAGTAGAACACACATGATAGTCTATCAAGCAGTGGTTGTTTGACTAAACCTTGCTATTCCCTGTCTTTCCATGGAAACTTTTACACCAGGTCTCCAACCTTTGACCAAGACGCGTGGCTGTGTTGTGCAGATGTGCCCCCTCTGTCGTCTTGGAGTCTTGCTTCCTCCACGCCTCTTACCCCACACTTCCACCCAACTAAAGGGATTCAAGCATCCGTTCTGTCGCCTATATGCTGCCTTTGTGCCTGTTCACAGTGTCCCTGTCTCTCCCGGACTGCATCCTTAGACTGCAGGGCTCGTGTGCCATGGCCTTTATGATGCTGTAAATCTCTTCACAAACACACAAGCTATTATAACCCAAACTGACTGCAGTCAAATTGGCTCCGGCTCATCGGAACTCTGTAGGATAGAGTAGAGCTGTTCCTCTGAGTGTCTGAGAGTGCAGATCTCTACCTGCCTCATCGTCTTCCCCTGGATGGCCAGTGGGTTTGCACCTTGTTATTAACAGCCCCACCCTCAACCCACTGCTCACCAGGGTTCCTGGGCACACTACAGTCACGCTTACATTCAGTATACAAAGACCAGAGTTACTTAACTCAAGTGCCATGGATTCCGTGTGCTTATTTTGTTTTAATCACCTTGGGCTAGAATTTGGAATTTATTTTCATTTCTTTCTGGGGGTATAATCTTGCTCACTTACCTGAGCAGCGAAGGCCAGTGTGCCTTAGAGTGGCTTAGACTGAGGGTATGGGAGGCTGATCAGAGATTGAGGGTGGGACGGGGGGGGGTAGGGCTGTTTTCCAGAGGAAAATGACAGCTGTCCATCATTTTTACATGTGACCTGTGTCTACTCCCAGAGAGACTGGTTTTGAGTACCGCCCCCTCCTACTGAAGCTTTATTTTGTGCCTGTAAATTCGGAATGGCTCCTGGGCTGGTTTAGCAGAACCTCAAGACGTTGATCCATTTGTTCCTCTGAAAATACAAATTGTTTCTTTATTGACTTTTTTTTTTTAAGTTTTTATTGTGAATTATGTGATAGTTTACATGGGAGAACTTTAGCTTTACATTTATCCTATCGTATATCGTTTCATTGCCATGGTTACAATCCCCTCCATGCATCATCAACCAACCAAAGGGTACACCCTGCAAGCCTGCCCCCTGGTCGTCAGCACACAGCCCCTCTCCCTCTCTGGGTCTAGAGTTCCCAGCCGCTCTCTCTCTCCACATCATCGTCTCTGCCTCCATCTCTGGCGTCACTGCTTCTCTGTGTAGGGTCTCGCACTCTGCTCTTCTCCGTCTTCATTGATTTTTGAAGACCTAGAATCTTAATAAGATTATTTGTTTAGATTATAAAAGAATTTTAAAGTCTCCTCCCCTTTGCCTGAGAGAGTCTCCTCAAAGAATGTGTTTGACAGGTATGGCCAACGGCAAAGAATACAGGATCTAAGTCAATCTGGGTCTAGACCATGTTGAAACTGACTGCCCACTCAGTGGGCAGGTCTCTTCATTGACCAGAACCTTGGCATCTGTGTCTCCAATCAGTTTATGACTGTCCCTGCACTGCCGACCTTGTGGCATTGTGTTACAGAAAGTTAAGTGTGGAAAGAGGTTGCCACAGCTCTGTGATGCTGAATAACTGTTTTTTGTTACCCCCTTTTCTAGGTCAACAGTGGCTTTATTTTCACATAACTGACTTTAATGAAAAGCTGTTTTTAATGTTTTGCCACTGATTACCTTATACAGGAGTGGAGCTGTAGGATAAGTGCAAGGGCAGCAGTTCAGACCCACCAGCCGCTCTCGGAAACCCCCTTTACAGGGTTGCTATGAGTTGGAACTAACTCAATGGCAGTTAACAACAACCTTGTTGTTGTGACTTTGGACGAGCTACTTGATCTCTTGGTGACTCAAGTTTTTTATCTGTAAAGTGGGATGACCCCAAAGTGTTGTTGGAGACTTTGAAGCAAGGTCCTGGCACGTTGAAGGTGCTCAGTGAATACTGGGATGACCTCACCGATTAACCTGCAGATCCAACTAATGTGAATCAGGGTCAAAAAGGCATAATACTATAGAGAAATGAATTGCTGACAAGCAGGAGCATTTTAGAACCCTACCCATGTCCCCTCCACAGACTTGACTGTTGCCTAAAAGGCAGGGTGGTTGTGAGTTTTGTTGCACTATTTAGTCTTGGGTGATTCTTACGTAAAGAAATCGCTGTGCAGCATCTGCATTTGAAATGTACTATGTTGTTGTTGTTAAGTGCTGTCAAGTCAGTTCTGACTCACAGCAACCCTGTATAGGGTTTCCGAGGAGCAGCTGGTGAGCTTGAACTGCCAACCTTGCGGTTCAAACTGAGCTTGCAGTGTGATGAGTTAACCACAAGTGTACTTTAAGGATGATTTAAAGGCTCTTTGATGCTTGTTTTGAGTAGCACAGCAGCCGTCAAATGCTGGCTTTGGAACAGATGGATGTCACCCAGCGTAACAGTGTGGGACAGTCTGAGTCATTTCCCAGCAGTCACATGCTGGACTCAGCTCATATGGACCGGCGAGAGCTCGTGTTCAGGAATCACAGTCAGAAATCACACTCAGCGGGAGTGTTTACACAGCAAGAAAGGGCAGACCCGACAATTCAGAACTTTTGTTCCTGAAGAAATTGTGAACTATATTCCAGTACACATCTGACTCATGAAATTTTAGCCCAAGTTGGACTCCTGGTGTAGCACTGTAGGATAAGCACTTGATTGCTAGCCACAAGGTTGGCAGTTCAAACCCCCCAGCTGCTCCTTGGAAACCCTATACAGGGTTGCTATGAGTAGAAACCAATTCGACAACACTTAACAACAGCAACATGAACCTTTTAGTCTTCATGTCTCTCTATCTATTTGAGTTGTTGTTATGAAGTACCATGGAGTCGGTTCTGACTCAGTGACCCTGTACAGGGTTTCCAAGGCTGTAAATCTTTACGGGAGCAGAACGCCTCATCTTTCTCCCGCAGAACTGCTGGTAGTTTCGAATTGCCGACCTTGAGGTTAACAGTCGGATTCGTAACCACTACTCTAAGGGGATGGGGGGAGTGGCACTTACCTAAAGTCATGTGATCAGTTACAGACTGGACTGGGACTGTAACCTAGGGCCCCAGGCATTCCTCATCTGGATCTTAATGTGGAGAACTCATTCTTACTGTGAGTGATAAAATTGGAAACAAACAGAGCCCGGTAAAAGAGATTGTGGCAAATGTTGTAACTCATGCTACTGAACAGTTTGTGCGAAACTTGTCAAATGGGCTCCTAACTTGCTGTGTAAACTTCCACCTCAAATTCAAGAACATATTATTTAAATAAAGAAAAAGAGTTAATTCACTTAACGCTTGGAGTTAGGTATCATTATAACAACAATTTTGTAGGCTTTGTTTCTTCCCCAATGTCTTTTCCTTTTGTTCTTATTCCAATATCTTGATCCTGGAGTTTTAGATCTTTTCCTGACCTGATAGAGCTGGAGTAATATTGATTTCACTTATGAGACAGAGCTGAGGAAACCGCTTTTTTCCAAATTGGAGTTACCCCTATTATAATTCTTAATACTTCCAAGGAGGCATTGAGAACTAGGGAGAGTTCAGATTCTTATTTGCCTTAGGGAAGAAAATAATTGGCTTTCATAATAATAATATTAGGAAACCCTATTTTCAGGAGACAGACATCCATGGGCGCTTTCTTTCATACCCTGCAGGATTGGGCAGTATTTCGTTCTGTTGTGTATAGGGTCACTATGAGTCAGTACCGACTTGATGGCACCTAACTACAACAACAACAATTCACGAGGTCATGCCGTCCGTCTCAGTCCTGTTGTGTTTCTCTGCGTTAAAATTGTGGCAGCTCTGACAACGTGTAGCACGAACTGTACCCAGCTTACACGAGCCTGTGGCAGACTGTAGAACAGAATTGTGGGCAGGCAACACACAGAGCTACCACGGAAAACCTTTCATTTGCTCAGGGTGATGTAAAGAATTAATTTATGTTTTTCAAAATGATAAAAGCATTCTTGCTCTCCAGTGACTGCCCCTGATTTTCTGTGTCATGTGTTGAAATCGACCAGTTCTGTGAAGGAATGCTGTCAGCTGGGAGTCCCACCTCTCATTACAACAGAACCTTGTAACCAATGGCATTTCAGAACCTGCTATCGGCAAGACTTATCAGGGCTTTGGCCTTGCAAGGAATGCTGTGTCTTCATGTTTGCTGGGCTGGTGTGTGAAGGCGTGTTATCTCTTGTATGCTCGTGGGCAAGCAGGACACTCCCTCTGCTTGTTCCAGCCTTCAGCCCGGTGAAGTTTCCTTTCAGAGGGGCTGTATGAGTGTGCATACTGCATATGTACATGGTAATATTTTTTACAGGGAATGAAAAAGAGCCGAGGAGTCGATACCAAAAAGTTTGGTCCTCTGAAATTGGCTGCTCTAAATGGACTCTCTCTGTCTCGATTACCTTTACCTGATGAAGGAAGGGATGTGGCTCCCAGAGCAACGGATGATGAGAGGGTATGTATGAAAGCATCCTGTGAGACAATCAGGACTTACTGCGAAAATGCCCTTGTGGGGCTCTAAGGGGTTTCCTGATAGATCACTAGTCATTCATGGGTGCTAAGGAGAAGCTTTGGAATCTGGACTTTAAAATTGGGATAAACTTATAGCTAGCAGCTGTAGTAGATTGTTTGAGGCTAGAATGTTGATTAATTTATGAGTGTTGTTCTTCACCTTCATCCAATCATTCGTGATGGTCTTAAATTTTGATGGTTTTAAAGTTTGAAGAATTTTACAAATGCATCTGAGTATCCATAGGAAAGAAAACAAACTGTTTACATGACATTGAAAATCTCCCCTAAGAGGAACTGGTTACTCCACTTCTGAGAGTTCTTTTGAGACTGAGATATCCTTTCTACGAGGTTTTCTTATGTTACAATCAAGCATCAGTTATGCTGAACAAAAATGAATTTGCTTATAGCTGGATCCTAGAGCTGGTTTCTAATAATCAGTACTGTTCTCAGGTTTTTTATTAAAAATTGAAGCATTCTTAGAGATTGGAATTGAAGACCCGACACTAAAATTGCTGTTCTCTTTCTCGGGGTCACAAGATGGTGGATTTGGAGAAAAGGAATTCAGCAAACTGCTCTAGGCTTTAACAGAATTTGGAATTATGTTTCTCATTAGTCAGATTATTTCTTTTGTTCTTGTAACTCTCACTGATAATGACTTGTGAAAATGTTGACTTTTGTTTTTGGTGTCGCGCAGAATTTTCAACCTTAGACTGATGCTAGACTTGAATCAGAAAACAGGATTTCAGATGTACTTTATGCCACATGTTGATCTTTCAGTGTAAACTTCTGGAGCAGCGGTTAGAACAGGGAATGGTGTTCACAGAATATGAAAGGATTGTGAAGAAACGGCTAGTTGACGGGGAGTGTTCCACAGCACGGCTCCCTGAAAACGCAGAAAGAAATCGATTCCAGGATGTCCTTCCATACGATGATGCCAGAGTGGAGCTGGTCCCGACGAAAGAGAACAATACTGGCTACATCAATGCATCCCATATTAAGGTGAGAGGGATGTTTGGAGTCACTAATGGCACATGCAGTTTGAGCTAAGTCCCAGCAATGGTAAGAATTATATATTCCTGTCTGCTTCTAAAAACACCCCCATTTTGAACCATTGTGACCAACTCAGCATTTAAACTGGGAAATGCACGCACCGGAGCTGGGTAGGCAGTGCGCCTCAGTCGGGACTGGACACAGGTGTCACTTATTTGCCTGGGTTTAGAACATTGTCTTTCTAAGTCTGGAGAGCTCTGTTTGGACTCTTCAATTCTCTCCTGAGCCGCTGCCTTTCTAGGTCTTCCTCACCAAGAACCTACATACATTTTCACATAGCAGTAAGCGTCTGGGTGTTTGGCGGTGTTCACAAAAGCTGTTAATGTTCGAAGGTACCATCTGCTCTTTTTGCGTACTCACTGAACATCGTTTTGTTTTCAGAAGAAGCACTTCCTTCCTAGAAACTGTGAAAAGCCAGGTAATTGAGGTAAAGTTACCGACATGCAGGTGGGAAAAGCGATGATTCACAGCAAGTGCTTAGTTGCAGGAAGCCAGGTGCCCTCTCCTTGCCATCAGTCTTCCTCTGTTCATGGGAGCCCTGGTGGTGCCATGGGGTAAGCATTCCACAGCTAACTGCAAGGTCAGTGGTTCAAGCCCACCAGCCACTCTCAGGGAGACCGATCAGGCTGTCTGCTCCCCTAAAGATTTACAGTCTCAGAGATTCAGTGGAGCAGTTCTCCTGTGTCCTGTAGAGTCTCTATGGGTCACCAGGGAGTGAAGACATTGGCTCTTACTGGCTAGAAGACGTGAAGCAGAACTTTTCTTCTCGTTTGTGAGTGAGTGAATTTGAGTATCTGTGGTCAGATGATTGTCTGCTTGATCTCATTTTCTTGATATTGAAAGTCATATTTTGATATCGTTGTTGTTAAGTGCTATCAAGTCTGTTCCAACTCATAGTGACCCTGTGTAGGGTGTCCAAGGAGTGGTGGGTGAGCTTAAACCGCCAACCTAGTAGTTCAAACCGACTTTGCAGTCCAATGTATTAACCCACAACGCCATACATAAGCGAACGATATTTTGCCACTTGGACCTTGTCAGTCCACCTATGAATATCATTGTTCCTTGATGGTCTTTGGGAATCTAGACTTGGGTTGACATCTGATGGGTACTTGAAACACAGTTCCTGTAGTCAAGAAATAATGGAGCCAAGTGTGCACCCAGATATCCGACGGTACAAACCCAGACTGTCCTCGAGGATGTGGAATCTTAGGAAGGGGGATCCTGACTCAGAATGCCAGAGCTGAGATGTAAATAGAAAGGTATTTTTTTTTTTGCCCCACCTAGGAATTGGATATTTAATGTAGATTTTGTTGTTGTTTTTGTGAGGTGCCGTTGAGTTGGTACCAACTCATAGCAATCCTATTCACAAGAGAAAGAAATACTGTGGCCAGTCTCACAATTATTGCTACACCAGAGCCCATTGCTGCTGCCACTGTGCCAATCCATCTCATTGGAGGTCTTCCTCTTCTTCTCCAACCCTCCACTTTACCAAACACGATATCCTTCTCCAGTGATGGGTCCCTTCTGACAATATGTCTGAAGTATGAGAGAAAAACTTTGGCCATCCTGGCTTCCAGGGAGCACTCTGGCTGTATTTCTTCCAACACAGATCTGTTTGTTTTTTTGTCAGTCCATGGTACTTTTCAACTAATAATTGAAGCATGGATGTATGAAGTTGGAATCTAGGCAAATTGGAAGTTGTCAAAAATGAAATGGGACACATGAAGATCAACATCCTAGGTATCAGTGTGAGCTGAGACAGACTGGTATTGGCCATTGTGAATCTGACAGTCACATGGTTTACTACAGGAACAACCAGTTGAAGAGGAATGGCATTACATTAATCAAGAACATACTAAGATTGGTCATGAAGTACAACGCTGTCTGTGATAGGACTATATCCATACACCTACAAGGAAGCCCAGTTAATACCACTATTATTCAAGTTTACACACCAACCACTCAAGCCAGTGAGGATGAAATTAAAGAATTCAACTTCTTCAGTGTGAAATTCATCAAACATATAATCAAGATGTTTGATCAGTTTGATTATTACTGGTGATGTTGTTGTTAAGTGCTGTCGAGTCGGTTCCGACCCATAGTGACCCTGTACAGGGTTTCCGAGGCTGTAAATCTTTATGGGAGCAGAACGCCTCATCTTTCTCCCACGGAGCCACTGGTAGTTTCAAACTGTTGGCCTTAAGGTTCACAGCCCGATTCGTAACCACTACGCTACCAGAGGTGATATACGATCAAAAATTGATCATTACTGGTGATTGGAATGAGAAAGTTGGAAACAAAGAGGTAGGATCAGTCTTTGGAAAACATAGCCTGGGTAACAGAAATGATGCTGGAGAGCAAATGATAGAATTTTTTAGGACCAACAACTTACTCATTGCAAATACCTTTTTTAACCAACATAAAAGGTGACATCGCCAGATGGACCTCACCAGATAAAATACACAATAATCAACTTGACTACATCTGTGGGAAGAGAAAGTGGAAAAGCTCTATATCATCAGTCAAAACAAGGCCAGGGGCTGGCTGTGAAACAAACCATCGACTACTCATATGCAAGTTCAGGTTGAAGCTGAAGAAAATGAAAACGAGTCCACACGAGCCAAAATATGACCTTGAGCATCTCACACCTGAATTTAGAGACCATCATAAGAACAGATTTGATGCATTAGACACTAGTGACTGAAGACCAGAAAAGTTGTGGGATGACACACAAAGTCACTGAAAATACAGGAAAGAAAGAAAAGGCCAAAATGGATGTCAGAAGAGACTCTGATGCTTGCTCTCCAGCATAGAGATGCTAAAGCAAATGGAAGAAATGAAGTCAGAGCTGATCAGAAAATTTCAAAGGGCAGCTCGAGTAGACCTAGTCACGTATTATAATGACATGTGCAAAGACTTAGAGTTAACATACCAAAAGGGAAGATCATGCTCAGCGTTTCTCAAGCTGAAAGAACTGAAGGAAAAATTCAAGCCATAACTTGCAATATTGAAGGATTGGTGTGGCGCTATAGGATGAGCACTGGACTGCAAGGTTGGTTTGCACCATAAGGTTGGCTGTTCAGACTCACCAGTCACTCCTCAGAAACCCTGTATAGGATTGCTATGAGTTGAAAGCAACTTGATGATACTTAAAAATAACAACAGTAATGGGCAAAATTTCAAATGATGAAGAAAGCATCAATAGAAGATGGCATCACTCTACGGAAAAGAAATGTTGATGTTCAGCCAGTTTAAGGGGTAGCATATGATCAAGAACCACTAGTACTGAAGGTATTGGTAAAGAGCAAGCCTCCAGGAATTGATGGAATAAAAAGTGCTGTCTTTCAACAAACTGATGAATCGTTGGAGGCACTGACTCATCCATGCCAGGAAATTTGGGAGACATGGTCAGCCAATGGAAGACATCCATATTTGTGCCCATTCTAAAGACAGCCGCCATAACAGAATATGAAAATCCTTGATCAATATCATTAATAACACATGCGAATAAAATTTTACAGAAGATGACTGAAAAAGAGTCGCAATAGTTGCATCCACAGGAAACTGCCAGGTTCAGAAGAGGACGTGGAATGAGGGACATCATTACTGCCGTCAGATGGGTTTTGGCTGAAAGCAGAGAATTCCAGAAAGATGTTGACTTGTTTTTTATTGACTGATGGCAGGGTTGCTGTGAGGTGGAGTCTACTGGATAGCAACAACAGTGAATTCACAGGCTGCTTCTGTGACCCTGGGCTTCACCGTTCTGATTCAGGTCATAGTTGGTTAACAGTCACCCAGTAGCAGCCTTGAAAACCACATAGAGCAGTTCTAATCCCATAGGACGCATGGGTATGACAGCCACAGCAGTAACATATATGAATCCATTGTCCCCTTTCTCATTGCAGGTCTCTGTCAGTGGAACGGAGTGGGACTATATCGCCACTCAGGGACCATTACAGAACACGTGTCAGGACTTCTGGCAAATGGTGTGGGAACAAGGCATTGCCATCATCGCCATGGTGACGGCCGAGGAGGTGAGTGCCGACTCTCAGCATGGCTGTTGCTCGTGGAGAACCCCGACCCTTGGAGGAGAAGGGGAGCAGGCTGGTGTCTCTAGGTTTCTGACACACGCTCTCTGTGTCCTTGTCCTTTCAAGGAGGGTGGAAGAGAGAAGAGCTGCAGGTATTGGCCGCGACTTGGTTCCAGGCACAACACCGTCACCTATGGCAGGTTCAAGATCACCACCCGGTTCCGCACAGACTCTGGCTGTTATGCCACCACAGGCTTGAAGATGAAGCACCTCCTCACGGGGCAGGAGAGGACAGTGTGGCACCTCCAGTACACAGACTGGCCCGAGCATGGCTGTCCCGAGGACCTCAAGGGATTTCTGTGTAAGTTCCCTGGACAGTCTCTAGAAGCTGCTCAGTCACTGGCAGAGATGGGGGCTGATGTTTCTGGAGTCATTTCCTTTACATTGTCTTGTATGAGCTGAGCTATGGGCTTATCATAAGATAAAGACTGCATGTGCTTTTGGGGAGACCAGAGGCTTTTTTACAAGTAGAATTTTGTCACAAGTGAAGCGACAGAGTAGCTCAGTTGCTCTGGGCCATGCTCTACCTGAGCAGATGGGAGCCACTTGGTCAGTGATGGGCCCGAGATCACAGTGTCAGCTGGTGCCTGGGGTGAAAGTGGCTCCCTGAGCTCTTCATCATCGGGGTCTTCTCAATCCATGGAGACCATGTATAGATCGAGTTGTTGTTTCATGGGCCTTCATCCTGTGTTTCTGTGTTGTACTGGTTTTTACAGCATACCTGGAAGAGATCCAGTCGGTTCGACGCCATACAAACAGTACCAGTGACCCGCAAAGCCCCAACCCTCCCCTGCTGGTCCACTGCAGCGCCGGGGTCGGCAGGACTGGAGTTGTGATTCTGTCCGAGATTATGATTGCATGTCTGGAGCACAATGAGGTGGGGGCAGGAACAGGGTGGGAAAGAGCTGAGGAGGGGATTATTGTTGTTGTTGAGTGCTGTCGAGTCCGTTCTGACCCATAGTGGCCATACCACACCTGTGTAAGGTTTCTGAGGAGCAGCTGGTGAGCTTGAACTGCCGACCTTGCAATTCAAACAGCTTTGCATTCTAGCGCATTAACCCACAGTGCCACACCGGGGCTCCGAGGAGGAGGAGGAGGAGGGAATAGAATGGCCAAATAGTTCTTATGAGCGAGTTTCTTTGGCCTGGGAGGCCTCAGGTGTTTTTCCTTGTCCCCTGATGAAAGGCTCTGTCTTCTTGGAGAGTCTCAGTATGGTGCAGTGGGTTACACGCCACACTGCAATATCTGCTGCGTGGGGAAACGATGAGGCTGTCTTCTCTCATAAAGATTTACAGTCTCGGGCCCTCTTTAGGGACCATTCTGCTGTATCATTTAGGGTTTCTATGGGTCAGTGAGATTTATTGGCACATTAAAGACCCTGGAAAGTTGTACAGGGATTGTTGTTGTTAGGTGCACATCGGGCCCTCGTAGTGCAAATGGTTAAGCACTCGGCTGCTAACCAAAAGACTGGTGGTTTGGACCCACCCAGTGGCCCTGCCAAGCTGCTCCCATGAAGTATACAGCCCAGGAAACTATGGGGCAGTTCTACTGTGTCGCACGGGGTCACTGAACACAGTCAAGAAAGCTAGTTGGCTGTTGTACCTGGTGTTTTTCAAGTTTGATTTCCAAACCCTGCTTTCCTAGAACACCTTGTCACACTTCGAGGACAATAGTGCAGGTCACAGCCCCGTGTGGGTATGTTGGGCTCGACCCTGGTAGCACCCACTCCACTATTTTTGGTGGATCTTGGTACTCAGGGACATAATAGCGGATGTCCAACAAGACAAAGTCTCGCATGCGCTATGTACCCAAGAGATGTGAGGAAGTAACTCACTCCCAGGGAGAGACTGCTTGAGGCGAGAAGCTGTCAGGGCTCGTGGGCATAGAAGATAGAAGGTAGGTACCGGCTTTTGTTAGGGCCCCAGCTCCCCGCTGCCTTCCCTCCTGGGGGAAGTGCAGCCTTCAGTGCCCTTCTCACCCTCTAGGTGCTGGACATCCCACGAGTGCTGGACATGCTGAGGCAGCAGAGGATGATGATGGTTCAGACCCTCTGCCAGTACACGTTTGTCTACAGAGTTCTCATTCAGTTCCTGAAGAGCTCAAGGCTCATATGAGCTCCCACCACTTGTGACTGGGACCCGATCACGTGAAGCGTTTACAGCTTTAAAAAAAAAGAGAGAGAGAGAGCTAGAAGTGCTTGCCCAAGGCCTCCTTTCTCCTTTCTCCTTGATTCTCATGGCTAATGGGGCATAGGCCGCAGGGGGCAGGGGCGTCTGAACTTGGGAAAGGTGATGATGAAGAGGCCTGTGGGGGGAGGGCCCTGCCTTTCAAGGCTCTGTCGCAGTCTCGCAGTACTTGCACACATCTGGGAGGTTGTGTTTTCTAGAAAATTCTTTCTTCTTAGGCTACGCTGGGCAATTCTGGCAATCATTCAGGCATATAGATTTCTAAAACTAGTTTTTGATAATGGAGTTTTATTTTCTGACTAAAGGATTGAGGGGTTTTCTTAGCAAGAAGCAGCATTCTGTAATGACAACCCACAGCTATTGGGGTGGTTCCTTTTTAACTTTGTATTTAAAACCATGTTATTATCTTTTGTTACTTTTAAACAACCTTCGGTACTGAGGGTGTAGTTATCACACCCCAAACTATAGCAGAGAGTCTAAAGGTATTATTTTGAAGCACAGAAAACATTTTTATATTCAGAAAACTTTTTATCTTAAAAATTCTCTATATTTGTACCTTCTGTATTTTCCAATCAAGAGCTCAGCTCATGAAGATACTGGAATGAGTCAGTTAATTGCAAGGAAGTGGGAATGAAGGGACATTATTTAATATATGAGAGTCACTATTTTTTCAGTATTATTCATACATGAGTTTTATTGGTTAAAAATGAAGTAAAAACCAGTTGCGAATGGTGGTTTTAAGCACTTTTTTTGGTTTGAAGCAACAAATCTGAGCTTTTATCTATGTGTTGATATATAGATGAGCCGTGTCAGTAGCCACAGTGGCTGTGGGTTCACAAGCATGTGGAAGGAATGAGGATTCCGTGTGGAGGACGATGAGGCTGAGAGCAAGTGTAGAGGGAGGGAGGGAGGGAGCCGGAGCCTTCTGGCGTTGTACAGTGTTAGTTAGACTGCCATGCTGGACCCAGAGTGGGTGCCTGGGAGCTTGGGGGCTGAGCCTCCAGGGCCCCCCCAGGAAATCCAGGGCCTGTCACTCTTGGGGGCTGGCTCTTGGAAGTCTTTGACTTACACCTCTGTGCATTTGTCACAAATCAAGTCAGGTTTATATTTGCATTAAAAGCCTTGCTGTTGCTGTTAAGTGCTGTTGAGTCCATTCCGACTCTTAGTGACTCTGTCTAGGGTTTCCGAGGAACAGCTGGTGGGTTTGAACTGCTGACCTTGTGGTTCAAACTGACCTTGCGATCCGGTACATTATTCTACAGCTCCACACCAAACCTTGTTGTTGTTGTTGTTAAGTGCCATAGAGTCGATTCCGACCCATAGCCACTCTGTATAGGGTTTCCGAGGCGCAGCACCAAACCTTGAAGAGGCTTTATTTCCTTTTGGTTGAAAGAAGGGAATCCCTTGTAATCGTATGATTTTTTTTCTCCAAACCTGAACTTGTTGGGCCATCAGAGACTGCTGTGGTATTCAAGAGGCACTTAAATACTAGCTCCTTAATCCCCTAGCTTCACCCAGGCCAGTTTTAGCTCTTTAGTTCCCTACCCCCACGCCCACCCAGAGCACACCCACCCCATTCAGGTACATCCCCATGGGGCAGAGTCTCCTCTAGCCAGGCTGAAATGACCTGTCACAGTTGGGGTGGAGAGGAGGTGAGGAGTAGCCCTCTCCCTTTTTTGTTTTCCTTTCTAAGGCTGCTTCCCCACAATGTAGAAGCTTAGCGATTTCCCTACATGACAACGTTCTAGGGATGCTCCTAAAACAGCTTCAGACACTGTTGGGGTGCTGAGTGTTGGTTGATGATGAGAGAGCATTTCCTGCTCTGTGTATGTCAGTCCAGTTCTGAGTTACCCAGAGGCCACTTCCCAGGGAAGTTCAGAGGATGTTAATGAAAATGAAGATTAAATGTGGCCACTTGTTTCACTAGGAATACAATATTAATTTTCTGTTTACACTTTTTAAATGTCCTGTTCAACGAAAAATAGACCTGATTTGATGATATTCAGTATGAGTTCCTCAGAAGAATGGGAGAAGAGTTTTTATGGTAATATTACCTCCATGTTGTCTAAAAGGTGATTGTTTTTCCTCTTGAAAAAAAAAAAAAAAAGTGTTTTGCTTTAGGTTTAAACATTTTGAAGAACCACATTGGCAAGAACGTATTGTAAAATGAAAAGTCTAATTAAAGAGTAATATATGGTGTATTTGTGTTCTCTTATTGTAATAATTTGATGTTAAGTAAATTACTGAAGGGGGCAAAATGACAGTTTAGATTTGTTGTCCTTAAAATGCTGCATGTTGGACAGAGCTCCTAAGAGCCAGGTACATTTCTGCTTTTGTCCCTTCTGAACTGTAAACTTGTCATTCCAGGTAGGAGAAGAACATGAGCATCTTCTGGGTAAAGAATAATCGTCGTGACTAGACTTTGAAATCATGCAGTTTTCAAGGGCACGGGTAATAGAACATTGAGGTGTGGTAGGCACATTGGATCTGAGCTGTATGCCAAGCTTGCCCACTGCTTCATTTGCAATTTTATATAAAAATCTCCAAAATGTACATTTTCACATAAATGGGTTCTAAATGGTATTTTCCATGGTTCAGGTTTGATCACTCTGGCACCATCATTTTCTGACTTAGTTGGGACTGTCGATAACTGATTCTAGTTGATAGTTTTGAGCAGGGAAAATGCTCCTTTAGTTACACCTAGAGGTCTTGGAATGTTCATCACAATCATTACAAAATAATTTTCTTCTGGAACATCTACTGTGGGCTTCACAGTAGATGTGAAAAGTCTGTGGGCAGAATTAAAACAAGGTGGACCTCACAAGCTTCTGGAAAGAGCCAGGTCTGCCCAGAAGCCCCCTGAAGAAATCCTGTGATGCAGAAGTGTTTGTGTGTGTGTACATGTGTGTGTGTGTAAGCTGGGCCCGGCCGCTCTCTCACCATCACGAGAAGATAGTTGTTTCAAATGGGCGGGCAGGCTAATTGAGGCACAAGTAAGCAAATTGGAGGTCAGCTGCATCTTATCAAGAGCAAGTTTCTTCTCTGAGTTTTGCATATGAACAATTGAAACATGACCTTTTCTTTTTTTTGGTAACTTAAAAAATCAAACTTTTTAGGAATCTTTAGATTTAAATTGAGGGGAATTTGTTTCTCACTGAGGAGATTTCATGTGCAACAAACTAAAAACATCCCTTCTCAGTTTAAAACTTATTTTTAAAAAACCACTTAAATTGGAGGAGACTTTTGGGAGCTGAGGGGTGGGCATTTTATAAATGGGAAAATGGGTACACTTGTAATTAGGGACGGACATTTTATAAATGGAGTCTTGGTGTGGTGCTATAGGGTAAGCACTGGACTGCTAACTGCAAGTTGGTGGTTCAAATTCATGAGCTGCTTTTTGGAAACCCTATGTAATATCGCTATGAGCTGGAACGGACTCTGGCAACATTTTATAAGTGGAGGAATGGGTACCTTTGTAATTTAGACATGGACATTTTATAAATGGGGTAATGGTTCCATTTGTAATTCGGAATGGATTTCTCAAGTTTTTCCAAATTCCTGTACATAAGGCTCCATTTAATATCCTGGGGTGGTGCTGTGGGCTAATCTGTTAGACTGCAAAGTCGTTTGAACTGCAAGGTCAGTGGTTCAAGCTTACCAGTTGCTCCTTGGAAAACCTATATAGTGCCGCTATGGGTTGGAATCGACTCCACAACACTTAACAACAACAACAACCATTACTTGTAGAGAAATGTGATTTCAGGACATACAGTTTGCATGTGTTGGGGGCAGGTGGTAGAGAGGATATTAGAAAAACATTGGAAGGGGTTCTTGGATTGTTAAAGTGGTATAATTTTAGGTACTGGCAGCCCTGGGTTATGCATGTCTTGGGGGTAGGGGATAGAGAGGATTTTAGAAAACATTTGAAAGGGTCCTTGGATTGGAAAAATGGCTTAATTTTAGGTACAGGCAGTCCTGGGATACACATGTCTGCTTTACCAACTTGTACTTGACCTGTAATCTTACGTGAATTGGCCTCACTCTGAAATGAATGAACCAAGCGCTACTCAGGAAATTCATCACCATCACCTTCACTTGCCGCAAAAGTGCTTGGAAATCATTGAGAAAGTATCAAGCCTTTTCTTGCCCTGAAGTAAGGCTAACTAAGAACCCTACATGCCTATCCTGACTTCATACAAACTGGGTGTAAAGACTTAGATTGTATATGGAACTCAGGGACTTTCTGTACCTAAGATTGTAATGACAGGCAGTTCGCAAGTACGAATTGTTTCTTTTTTTGAATGTTTCATTGTGAATTTTGTGGTAGTTTACATGGGAGAACATTAGCTTTACATTCATTCTATCGTATATCCTTTCATTGCTATGGTTACAATCCCCTCCATGCATCATCAACCAACCAAAGTGTATAACCTACAAGCTTGCCCCCCTGTCATCAGCACACAGCCCCTCTCCCTCTCTGTGTCTAAAGTCCCCAGCTGCTCCATCTCTCCACTTCATTGACTCTGCCTCCATCTCTGGTGTCACTGCTTCTCTGGGTAGGGTCCTGCTCTCCGCTCTTCTCCCTTGATGGTCCCAGGGACCTCCGCTCCTACACAAAAAAGAAACTCACCCCCCCACTTGCTACAAAAAGTCTACATTTACATTTCCAACCCTCACAATCATTCCTGATAGCAGTTATTCACTATTGTATCACAAGAGGCCTATCAGCATTTCCTTTCATCAGCTCCGCCTAGACAGATTGGATACTACTCAGTGGAGATTCTACCTTCCTCCACGCCCTCTGGATCTAGGTTCCCTCTTAAAAGCTTGTAAGCCAGTCACTTCTTGCCTTTGTAGCTCCCCCATTTTGGGTAGCCAGTGTCCGAGTTGCCCATCCCTGTCTACTCTGTGTATGGAGGGGGTGGAATGATCTTTGCTGTAAAGATTTGTTCCCTCTTTTGAGCTACTGCATCCATCGGTGTAGGTCAAGTTCATCAAAGTGTATCACATTACTCTTTTTTTCCTCTTCTTTCTTCTAGTTGAGCTCTGATCATCCAGTCATTGAAACCAGGTCAAGTGGGTATTATCTGCAAGTATGGGTGTTCTTATGCATATGCCCTCTCTTCTTATCAGCTGGATGCTTCGCTCTTCACTCTAATCCTCTGTGGCTATGTCACTGACTCTGGGCCCAAGAGTCCCAGGTCTTGCCACACTGCTGGCCAACCAGGTCTCTACCTAGGTTCACAGGAGTCTATTGAACATTGTAGGGCTTAGTTCGCAGCTTCATTGCTGTTTTTCCCTCACTTCCCCTAATTGGTGACGAACGTGGTCATCAATCAGAGCGTGTATTCCCATTGAATCTTAGTCTTGGAAGGGGGTTTGCTCTGATACATCCAATACATCCAACCACTTGCCTTGATGTCTCCTGGGCAAGCAACTTGCTTGTTCTTGTAGTAATCAGTCGGTCTGCCTATATTGTTTTGTGTTTTTCCTGTTGGTCTTTCTTTCAAGAAGTATCTTCTGTTCTTCTAGCCGCTTCAGGCTGGTCTGCCCGTCCTTTCAAGTGGAAATTTCCCACCTCTGAAATAATAGATTTGTTTTTTGAGTAGTTTCAAATCTAACATCACACATCTCCACAGTAATTTAGATCTTATCTTGCCAAGATGGCTAGCTTCATTAGGGTATTTGTAGGTCAGTTACTATCCTTGAATAGTAAGTATCTGTTGATGTGTTACCCAACAATATCAACTCAGCACAACAGCAGAAGCAGCTTCATGACCCTGGGAGGGTTATTTAACAGATTGCTTTATTTGCCAGTGTAACCGTGGTTGGTGGCTGTGTGCTGTGGAGTCGGTTCCGACTCATAGCGACCCTGTACAGGGTTTCCGAGGCTATAAATCTTTACGGGAGCAGAAAGCCTCATCTTTCTCCCGCAGAACAGCTGGTAGTTTCGAACTGGTGACCCTGAGGTTTGCAGCTCGATTCATAACCACTACGCTACCAGAACTCAATTAAATTTATTTAGAACAGAAGTCTTTTGAAAGATTTTCATTTTATGTATTATCCTTTTTTTTGCTTAACTCCTTAATGATGTCTTTGATTTGATAAAAGCTAAATATATTTTTAATATCTTAATCAACTGTAACTATTATGTCTTTTGAATGGAAGTAGTTTAATATCAGCAGTCTTCATCAGAATCAAAAATAACTAGATTTAAAAGAATGTCGTTGTTGTTGTTGTGTGCCGTGGAGTCGGTTCCGACTCATAGCAACCCTGTACAGGGTTTCCGAGGCTGTAAATCTTTACGGGAGCAGAAAGCCTCATCTTTCTCCCGCAGAACAGCTGGTAGTTTCGAACTGCTGACTTTGCGGTTCACAGCCCGATTCATAACCACTACGCTACTGTAGGGACTCTGTATTTTACAAACAGAACGAAATCCACACAGTTGCTGCTATATGTGAACCTATTGTATCCACTGTGCTGATCTATCTTGTTGGTCTTCCTACATGATGGTTTCATCTTATATCTACAGGGGCATTTTAAAAATGAATACATCCAATAAAGACGTTTTCTTTCTAAAACAGTTTTGTTATATCTAGTGAGTTGAGGACTAGTATGTCCATTGTCCCCTTAAATCATCACCACAGCCCTTTGGTGTATGTCATTTCACCTTCACACTAAAAACAACTGTTCGAGGATGAAGTCAGTGGTCCAAGATCGCATACTAGCATAGCATCCAGACTCAAGCTTGGTCACATTCACCACACTCCACAGTGCTGGAGGTTTAACAAGTCCACAAAATCTAAACTTCATTTGCTTCCTAACTGGCCTGGCTTGGACAGCCAGTACAATGTTAACCATAGTTATCGAGAGCAGACACCTTTGCCCTGTTTTGTTTTAAAGGGGAAAGCACTCAGTCGTCACTATTACGTATGATGTTGTTGTTAAGTACTGTCGAGTCAGTTCCGACTCACAGCAACCCCGTATAGGATTTCCGAGGAGTAGCTGTTGAGTTTGAACCACCAACCTTGTGGTTCAAACCGAGTGCTTATCCTACAGTGATGGGTTTTTCGTAGGTTCTCTGTACTTTGCTCATTGTTTTTATAATGAAGAGGTGTTGGATTTTATCAAATGATTATCTATTGAGCTGGCCATGGAGTTTTTGTCTTTGATTTATAAAAGTGTTATTTTTAAGAATTATGTTAAATCAGCCTTACATTCCTGTGCACGGGATGCAAGCCCTTTGATAGATTGCTGGGTTTGCTTTGTAACTGTTTTGGTGAAGACTGCATCTATTCTCCAAAGAGGTATTGAGCTGTGGGTTCTCTGATCATCTCCTTGTCTGGGTTTCCTATTAAGGAGTTTCATAGAATGAGGTGGGGAGTAGTCCGTCTTGTATTATGGAAATATTTGTGAGTTGTTGGTATTACTTTTTCTTAAAATGTTTGGTGGAATTTATACCAGCAAAGCCATCTTTTCTATGATGTTTTACTGATCTCAACTTAGGATTTAGAGGAATTCTCATTATATTATTAAGTGCTGTCCAAGTTGGTTCCGACTCATAGCGATCCTGTATAGGGTTTTTGAGGAGTTTGGTGAGTTTGAAACGCTGACATTGGAGTTTGCAGTTCAGTGCTGATCCTACGGCGCCACAAACTATAGTTAATAAGGAGCCCTGGTGATACTATGGTTAACAGCTTGGCTGCGAACCAAAAGATCAGTGTTCAAAGCTACCAGCCGCTCTGTGGAACAAACAGGGGCGGTCTGCTTTCTTAAAGATTGTTGTTAAGTACCGTGGAATCGGTTCTGACCCATAGCGACCCTGCACAGGGTTTCCGAGGCTGTAAATCTTTATGGGAGCAGAAAGCCTCATCTTTCTCCCATGGAACAGCTGGTAGTTTTGAACTGCTGACCTTGAGGTAGGCAGCCCGACTCGTAACCACTGAAAACCTTATGGACAGTTAGTTGGTTTTTTTTTTTTTTTGTCCTACAGAATTGCTGAGTCAGAATAGATGACTTTTTTTTTTTTATGTTGAAGCAGTTTTTATTAGGTTAATGATATTTTAAATTATAGCATGCTGAATAATGAACCACTTCCTACCATGTGACAGAACTTAACAACAACACATAGCAAATGAGACTTTGCAGATGTGATTAGGATCTAGAGAAGACAGCCTGGGTTATCCATGTGGCCCGAAGCATGACGGGGATCCTCATTAGAGGGAGGAGGGAAGGTCGGAGACAAGCAGTCTGCAACAGAAAACAGGTGTGTGAGAGAAATTGATGCCACACAGCTGCTTCATGAAGGGTCACTAGTGAAGGAACGCAGGCAACCCCTCAGCACTGGGAGAGAAAAGGGAACAGGTCCTCTTCTAGGGGCCCCGGGAGGAACACAGGCCGGGCAACACCTTCAGCTGAGAACTTCAGACCTCCAGAACTGCAAGGTAAGGAATTTTTAAGCCAGGAAATGTGTGGAAATTTACTATCACTGCAACACAAAAGGAAACCAACAGTATGCTGTTCTCCTTCTGAGGAGAAACATGTAAGAACTAGGTGAATCTGGGAGTCTCCTCTCCAGGGCCCGGCTGGGTGTTTTTGCCTCAAAACTTGAATGTTGACCCATGACAGGATTCCGGAAGCAACAAGGTTGACCATGGAACCAAATCAAAAAAGGTTCTATGTGCCGGGCCTTTGAATTAAACATAGGCTTTTGTTCCTTTGGGGTAAGCCATTGCTTGTTCTATCTGGCTGTTTTAACAAGTTTACAAAGTGATTTGTTAGGATGTGCCGGCACCTCTCACTGAAGTGTGAGTCCATTTGAATACCCATTCTCTGGTAGTGTAGTGGTTATGGTTCAGGCTAATACCTCACGGTCAGCAGTTCCAAACCACCAGCAGTTTTGTGGGAGAAAGATGAGGCTTTCTGATCCCATAAAGATTTACAGCCTCAGAAACCCTATGTTGGGTCGCTCTGAGTTGGAACTGATGGCACGGCACATTGCCACCACCACCACCATTTCAGGATTACACTTGTTAAGTGTCCTCGAGTCAGTTCCAACTCAGAGTGACCCTGTATAGGGTTTCCGAGGACAGGCTGGTGAGTTTAAACCGCTGACTGCAGTTCAAACCGACCTTCCAGTCTAGTGCATTATCCTGCAGCGCCACACCAGGATTCCACCAGCATGCCGTTAGCTGTGTCTGTTTCTACATGTGGATGACTCAACTACACTCAGAATTTCTAAAGATCCCAAGAATTAAGCTCACTTTGACATATTAAACCTAAAAGAAGTTGTTGGGTCATCTTGTCTGAATTTCTTAAACCAGAGAGAAACAATTCTTTAGGAGTTAATTCACAGCCAATAAATTCACTTGGAAAATTAGACTTGCCTTGTAAAATCTGCTTGGATCTTTGACCTCACTGCTGTCTAGAGTGGAAAAGGTGACTGGTTTGGCGCTACTGTCTCCAAGGGTGTAAAGGCTTTATGGAAGCAGACTGCTGCGTCTTTCCTCTCTTCGAGTGGCTGGGTTTGAACTGCTGACCTTGGGGTTAATGCCCAACACTTACCCACTGAGCCACCAGGACTCCATGGAGACTCTAAGAGTGTGACCCAGCTGACCTGTGCTCCACGTTTTGACCCCCAGAAACTCGGGGATGATTTAAGAATGTATGGTGTTCTAAGCGTCCATGTGCGGTGGTTTAGAAGCACTGGACTGCGAACCACAAGTCGACGGCTCAAAGCTTCGTGCCCCCCTCCCCCGCCCACCCCACTACTCAAAATATGAGTCAGAACTGACTTGATGACACTTAACAACAACAACATATTAAACTAATACAGAAATTTTAATATATAAAAGAAAGGAAGGAGGAAAAAGCATACTGAGTTCCCGGCCATTCGATTTATTAAGATCAAACTTTCAGTGGGTAGCTGTCAGTGTTCCTTTCCATGACGTGAAGAGTTAGTCCCTCTAACTCATGAGTGTTGTCACCCGTGACCCTAGGGGACTGTCCAGCCTGGGAGAGTGGTAGCCTAAGAAAAGCTAATTCATTTGAAGTCTCAACCTTTTCAGTGTCACTGTCACCTTTGATGATGCTCATAGAGGTTTCATGGTCCCTTATGGTGCCGGCAACACTTGGATGTTTTTCATTCCACGTGCACAGGGTGAGGTTTCTCTCATCGCTCACCTGATGAACAGTAACTTCTGTGGAATACCTTTTAGGCTTAGAGTTGAGTGGGAAGAAATTGCCTGGTGAGGAAAGTTGCTCCCCGTCCTCCTTCTGCACAGACAACAGCATATCCAAAGCCTTCTGGTATTCTCGACGTTCTTGTTGAATGGTTATCTCTTGTGCAGTTTTAAATTCATTCTGTTGTGACTTCTCAGCCTTTTCACAGTCAAATAAAGTCACCATATCGGCATCATTTTGCTTTCCTGAGGCTTGCTCAGTTAAGAAGCCCAAGTTTACTTTTAGGACTTGTAGAAGGTGACGCATCTTTGCCTAGTATGAAGAAAAAGAAAACATGCATCAGTTAAGCTGGTAAAATGCAATGACTTTTGTCTGCAGAGCTGCTACTATTTTCAGCAGGAGTAATAGTTTCTCTCCTCATTCCCACAAAAAAAAGGGGGACAAGGGAGAAAAAAGGAAAAAATAAAATGCTTGTAAGGTAGGGGAAAAAAGCTTTTACAACACCTTCGCAGTGTATAGGACCTTAGGTGGAATCCTGAGACCCCCCATCCAGAACCTTCTGAGGTGGGATAATTCCCACTAGGAAGGACAAGCAGACCAGCCTAGACCAGCTAAAGCAATAGAAGATAAATCTTCAAAGAAATATCTGCAGAGAAAACCCAAAACAAAAATGGCAGTTTAACTGGCTACTACAAGAACAAGCAAGTTGTTCGCCGGGGAGCCATCAAGGCAAGCAATCAAGTTCCTTCAGGACAAACCTCCCTCTAAGACTGAAACTCAAAGGGAATACATGAGCAGGCATGTAAGCTTGCTGGTGACCACACTGATCTACTGGTGAGTGGAAGAGGGGGAAAGGCAGCAATGAAGAAATGGGCTGAGATCAACCACGTTCCGTAGACTCCCGTTGACCTGGAGATGAGAGAGAGAAGAAGGGGGGCTGGTTGGTCCAAAGTGTGGTGAGACCTGGGGACACCTGAGCCCATGGATAAGGACATAGCCACAGAGGGCTAGAGCTGAGAGTGAAGCATCCAGCTGATACAAAGTGAGGAGAAGACACACAAGAACACCCAAACTTGCAGACAGTACCCATTTGACCTAACCTCGATGGCTTGATAATCAGAACTTGACTAGAGGAAGAAAAACACAAACTTTTTGATAAGGAAAAGAGGGTAAATTGCTACAATTTGATGAACTTAACCTATATTTATGGATGTTGTTGTTGTTGTTGTCAGGTGCCATCAAGTTGGAACCGACTCATAGCA